AAAATTTCCCCTGCATGAGATCTGAAATTTGAACCTATTTTTGTTTCTTTTCCTTTCTGTGTTTCGTTCTTAATTACTCGATTTCTGTCATTCCRCAATAGTCAGCAGGGAGAGCATTGTAATGTTTAGCCCTTGAGCCTGACCTACCAATCGCTGCAAAGTCCAAAGGAGAGGAAAGAGTTTTAACTGGATTTAATTGGGGTCATCCTTGCCCATCAGSCGCTTCCTACTGGCCACCTGGGGGGGGTTGAGCTGGACTCTGACTAACTGGTGGAGACTGGAAGGGTGGCGGGACGGCGCTGCCTCCGCGTCAGAGCCGTGCAGCTGTCGGCCTCGCTTACTGAGCAGGCAGGAGATGGTGCCTGCAGGAAACAGAGATGGTTCCCACCTGTCCAGAGCTAATGAGGATGTTTCTGATGTCAATAAATGTTTCTTGAGCCCAGCAAAAAGCCAGTAATCTTTACAACCCACACATAAACAAGAGACAGGTAGAAGAGCTGGAGGACAAAAGTGAAAGAGTTGGGGAACAGGACTCAGATAAAAACGTAGAAGACTGGGAAGAAAAGAGTTTATTTGAAGGAGGAGAGAGAAAAGACAAGGAGAGAAGGAGCAAAAATGAAATGAGAAAGTAGAATGGATAGAAGAAGATATGAGAAAGAAAATGTAGATAGATGGATGGAGCAGAAAGGAAACAGAAAGAGACCAAGGGAAAAGAAAATTAGAAAAAAAAAAAAAAAAAGGAAATGGACAAAAAGAGCTAAAGGAATGAGAGAAGAGTGAATAGGTAGAGAGAAATACTCAGTCTCACCTTGGATATAGGCTGTTAATAGCAAAGGAGGAATAAATCTAGTCTGCCTAGGCTAAAGTTAATTTTTGCAAATACCTCTGAATTAGGTAGTTTTCCTTTTCCACTAGTCTGTTTTTAAGACAGTAGAACTTGAATTAATTCTGAGTGATTGCAAGTCCCACCATGTGAATTAGCAGGACTGGAATTTTTGAAAGCCTGTGGATCCCAATATGTCACTGACAAAAAAAAAAAAAAGAAAAAGGTGATTGAATGGTCAGGAAGTCACTCTGTTGGGATAGGTGCTTCTGGGCAACGACCACGACAAAAGCTGCAGGAGTAGCTTTAGTACAGCCCTCCCATATTGCTGCACCATAGCCTGCTCTAAAGCCAGGCTTTCTGTGCTTCTAATGCCAACTTTTCTGTTTCGCATTACTTCCAGACAACCCTTTTAGGAGAAATCTTGTATTTCATCACAGGGTCTTTGTGCTTCATGTTAAAAGACAAGTAGTGAAGCACAAGAAGGAAGGAAACCCAAACCAGCAAAGGCTGTTGCCCGTGGGCATCCTGTGCTCAAAGTCTGCAGTGTGGATATGGTCCAAACGCAGCTTGGGAATGAGGGAGGAGATCCGGGCATCCCGCAGGCTGCACAGGACTTGAGGAGCTTTAAGTCTAGAGACTTAATATCTCTGACATTTAGTTTAATTTCTGAAACTCACTATAGACTTGACCTTGGATGCCCACCATCACACGTATACTCTGTCTCATGTATTTCTGAAGGAAGCTTGCAAGAAGCAGAGCAGTTTTGGAAATCTGAGGGTAGAAATTGCTCATTGCTTTGTAGAAATGGACGTGATGTTTGCATTCTTTTCAGATTGCTTGGGCTCTGTGCAAAAGTTCCTGGTTCTAAAGTTCTAAGACATCACTTAGAAAACCTGAATTTTAGAGACTGGTATATAATAGAGAATTTGATCCAAGTAACTTGGAAWAATAGCATTTGACTTAGGCAATGTGTGCTCTGCCTGCTCCATTCAGTCACAGAGTTCAAATTAAATTTTGGTCATGGACAGAAAGCTTCTAAATCATCCGACTGTCAAATAACAAAAACAAAAATTCAAGAAATTGCTGTTAATACAGCATCCTTGGTAGCTCCAAGTGGTATTTCTAAACAAATCTTATGCTCAAGTTGGTACAGTTAGTGTATCAGCAGGTTTTTAAAAACCATCTAGCTCAAAAAATATATATATTTTCAAGATAGCCAGCTATGCAAACCTGCTTAAATCTGTTTCCTTCCTAAAAGATTTATCTACTTGGTACTTGGACTGCTAAGCTATCCTTGTCCACAGCATAATCCTTCATCGTTACTCAGTGCGCTCCCTTATTTTCTTTTAAAATTATTCTCTCACTCTGCACATTCCTCCATCCCTACGAGTAATTTTGAGAAATTCCCAGCGCTGCCCAAGCTCCTGGTAAGTACTCGAGCTGGGCCAGAGAGCGCGCTGCTCGGGATTGCCTTCCTCCTTGCTCCCAGCTGTGCTCCTAACTCTTAATTGAAGTTCTTASTCAGAAATTTTAAGACCAGGAATGTCTACTAGGCTAATGTAAGCTGACCAACAAATGTAACACAGGGAAAGAACTTCCCTCAATATTTCCACCTCAATCCTATAATTTTGTTTTTACCAACATCTCAAGAAAAATCTTCAGCCTGGACAGAAGGCAAGAGAGAATCCATTCTAAGCATTGAACAAACTGCAAACATGAACTAACCAGCCTTGCAGGTGTCCCGCTAGAACAGCAGGTAGCAGCTGTGATTTACAGAGGAGAAGTAGACAGCTGAGGTAAGAGATTTACCCAAGAACGTGTAGCAATTCAGGCATTTTTACAGGAATAATACACCCTCTGAAAACATGATTAATTCCTACAGCCACCCAGTACTGCCTTACCTTTCCATGCAACAGATCTGCTATGTAAGTCCCAGCTGATCCTGGTTGTACATTTTTACCAGAATAGAGTTTTGTTCCCCGCTGCCAACACACACACTCTAAGATCAATATTTTAACATCAGCACTTTTTAAAAAMTGTTGATATTTTCTTGAAATCTCATGAAAAATATTAATTTGGAAAATGGATTATTCCCCTTTTCTGTATCATATATATCTTATTTAATGGTTTACATTTGTTTTCCATGTTTCTGTTTATAAATTATATGTCAGTAACAGTAACTGTAGCAAGGATGATACATTGCTTGGCATAAGGGGTAGTCTTGAGTCTTCCATCGGGTCTCAGCCAGTCACCACRGCTCTTGTACAGCTTGTATGAGGAGACCATCATCCCCAGAAGCAAAATCCAACTCAACATAGAATAGGTGTCAAAGTGAGAGACAAATCCTCTCCAGAGTCAGACTGACTGGAGGTCAGTCTTCCTGTTACAAACAGGAGGGTGCTTAAATCAGCAAAAGGAGGTACGATATTTATGTTGGTGCTACGTTTGTCCTTTGTGAATTTAAAAATAAAATGAAAGAGAATATCCCGTCAAAGGGTGTTCTGTTGTAACACCAGCAGTAGGACACTATCTCAACCAGCTTTTATAAAACAGGGCACTAAAGCTGTAGAATTTAGAATGGGTAATATTTGAACTAACTGGCAGCACATTGAGAACAGACTTTTTCCCCCTTGTATTGTATTGTATTTCCCCCCTTGTAAAAATGTTGGGCTCTCAGTCTCAGCAGCTATCTACAAAGCATCATTGGGCTGACCTGGAGCAAAGCAAGGTGGAAGCATTCAGGTGGTGCTGTGCAGCGCTCCAGTTTGACTGAGCAGTGTAACTTTATCAGGGCTTCCAATTATCCTCAGCATTTCCCGGCACTTGTCACTGGCCAAGAGCGAGAACAGGAAGTTGCCAACTCGTTTCATAGCCAAGTTTGTTTCTGAGTTAAATCCACCACATTAGTGTTTCATTCCCCACAAAGACGTGGGCACTCCCAAATGCCCTGGATCACCAGCAAGACTTTCAGTGGATCTTTCCTGCTTTGTCCTTCTTTTAAGGTGGTTGCAACCAGGGATCCCAGCTAGACCCTGGGTGAGATCAAGGCGACTCAGCGCTGGAGTTGCAGGCTGGTATAAAACTTTTAAAGGGAGACATTGTGGTCTTTCCCTCCCATCACCAACCCCCCTGCCTCCACTCCTCCTTGCTCCCCTCCTCCTTTTCTTCTTTGAAGAAGTATGTGTTGATGTAAGTGGACAACGCAGGGAGTCAATAAAGGGGGTATCAGAGAGCCTAGGAGGAGATTGCCTGCAGCAACAGAGAAGATGCAATTACTGCAACAACTGTCCAACCAACCACAGCCAGGAGACTCCACTTAATCTAATTGAGTGTGAAGGCAGGCTGGAGACACAGGACCCGCTCCTCCAGCCCCCCCTCCCATAATATAGACACTATTGGCTGCTAATTGGCGCCAGTGGGCTGGTGCTAATTGTGCTGATGTCTTGGTCTGAGGACAGGCATGTGAAGGATGAAGGAGTCTGCTGGGAATAGGAGGAGGGGAGAGACAGGGAGACAGTGGTCATAAAAGTTGGATCAGGGCTTTAACTTCATATCAAATATTTAAGTGAGTGGAAGATCTGTGAACTCTCTTTGTGGTAACCCACAAAGGGCCGTAGAGAATAGCCCACCCCCTGCCCCAATCCCAGCAGCAAGCTATGGACAGTGCTGCTGCTCCTCTTCCTCCTTAGCTGTGTTTAATTAATTGTGAGATTTCTTAATGATGCTTTATTCTTTTTCCTACCCCCGATGCTTTCTGCTGCTTAATTCCTTATTTCAGAGGTTTAGCTTTTCCTGCTCAAGATCAGCCAAATGTTTGCTTGTCTTCCTTGCATGGCAATTTTGACTTAGCAGAATGGCAGATAAGGCTGTGATCACATTCATTACCCTGAAATCGGGTAATGTCTGATACATATTTGCAATGTCAAGTTTTGTAGGGTTGTTCATTATAAAGCTCCTATAGTTTGCTTATATAGAAAGTTTTGATATATTAACTTTGCAGGTGTACCTGAAAAGGTTGAAGCAGCTTCATGCCCCTAGATGGGTATATTTGTTGCTGGATACTTATAAGAGAGCTGCATACTTCCCACTGGTGGTTTATTCTTCCTTCTCAGACTAAATGTGTTGTGTGTACTAAAATACCTTTATCTGCTTCCTTTGTAGACAAATGTGCATTCTGAGGACAGCAGCATTTGAAGAAGTTTCTGTGGCCAGCCCTTTCCACAGCTCACTCTGGGGCTGAATACTCTCTTGCCTTCATCAGCGGAGATGTTGGTGAGTGCTCCCAAAATTGTTTTTGTCAATCTAGAATGCTCACTGATCACTTCAACCTTACCGCTGAATTTAGCAAAATATGTCTGTCATCCTTGTTGTTTCCAAAAAAAAAGGACCAAAGTGGGTATAACTAAGTAAATGAAACATCATACATTTTGCTTTTTTAGTTTTTCCCTAAGTTAGAAATGTTCCATTGTGCTGTAGTGCCTTAAGAACGGGCCACTGTTGACAGTGGCATCTTTCAAATGGCCATTACAAAGCCCTGGGTTCTGTTTGCTGCAGGTAGATTAACTTTGGTATTTGGGCTATTTGATCCAAGCTGATTGTGCTTCATTTATATAATTTTCCCTGCTCACTATGTCAAAGATCTCAGTCCTCATCTGCGCAGGTCACAAAGAGCAGCTCTTTGTTCCAGCATGACTTGCTATCACACTGTCACTTGCTCTTTGTTGTTCACGTGGATTTTTTTTTTCCCAAAATTCTTTGTTCTCTTTTAACTTACAGTGCTCTCAGAGAATTCTGTTACTATACGATTTGCTTTTCTAGAATTCAGATTAGCATGGGCAGGAAGTGATATCCAACAACACTTCTGATATGTATTATAAATAAATTCTCATTTATACATGTATATATTTTATCTACACACACACACACATTTTTTAAGCTAAACAAGTCTGATTTTGCTCTAGCTTTACATTTTAAACCTCAGCTTTCCCTCTTCCCAAAACCCCACATTCCCTCATTACGCTAAGTTGCTGATATCTGCAGAAATAATAATTTGAACTAGATTTCCTGTTTCAAATCAGGACTTGAGCTGTGGATTGTCTSTGCACAGTTACAGATAATCCTTGCTTCTAAGACTTTAATCTTTAAATAGGCAGGAAAAGTCTAATTAAACTYGTTCTGTGATGGGACCAGGGCTCCTCTGAGGAGAAATTACTTGCTTACCATCTAGGTTTATTTGGCGTGCCAAATGAAGGTGTAAGTTTAATATATGCTAGTCTACTTTCTACTGCAACTTAACCAAAGCGAGTAGCTTTATCAGTGGTGGTGTCACACTCCAGCCTTTACTACATCCTAGCAGCAAGTTCACAGTCTCTTTAGGGACCCCAGCGTGTTCTGGTCACCACCATTTGTTCAGACAATTCAAATAACAGCAACTTGATGTGTGGTACAGGGACCTTGGCTGGGCCATGGCAGTGCAGCCAGTTTCACYTGAATCCTGGATACTGCTTTCCCAAAAGTACAGGCAGCAAGGTGTCATAAGAACAGAGGAGAAAAATCAACATATCTTTTTCATTAGCGATCAGAGGATGTGAACGTTCATGTCTCTAGTGCCTTCTGAAAGTGGACCATAACTTCAGAGCCACCTGGGCCTTGTGATATTGCACAAAACAGTGCATAAATTGCTTTCAAATGATCATCTTCGTACTGTTTAAAATTATGTAAAGCTGGTGTCGTATGTAAAACAATGATAACTCGACTTGTTTGGCTTCAAGGCACTCCTGCAATAAAAATGTTTGATATTAAATAATAATTGCAGAAAGTACTTTCATAGGTAACCTTAATGAGATGTTCTGAATATATATCACAGGTCACTGAATTCAAATAAGAGTTTCATTCTGAAGTTAAATTTTAATGTCCTGATAGCTAGGTTATTTTAAGTTTTTTATAAATTACCACAATGAGCAGATTCTTGGGTGAAAGGTTTAAAACCTCCAAAGTTCTCTGCTTCTGTCTTCCTCTTAAAATGTAATCACAGAACTGATGCATGAGGCCTTTAAGTTCAGCTGACAGCCTGTCACTTTCACTAAGGGAGCCTGAAAGTGAGTGAAAACTCCAGAGTGATTTGTTTCAAAGCCTAAATTCCAAATCCCAAGTTCAGGAACAATCACTTCTGTCTTGCAATCAAAATATGCCTACCTCTTCCTTACAGGCACAAGCTCCTGGAGCATGGGATCCTTAAGAGAGCCAAAAAGCTCAGTAGAAAAGCAGGCCATTGTCAGTAACAGATATTTTGGGCCGGATTCACATCAAGAAGAAAAAAACACTATACATATCTTTTCTCTCTCAGTGTAATGTCCATCCTCAGTGGAGTTTATGACTTGCCCRAGTTCATCATATCCTTATCTTAGATACACTGGCATTTACTCTGGAGGTGTTGGTGGATCTTATAGGGTGCACAAAATGCTTTTAGCCACCAGAGCTTTAATTCTGTTTATTACTCCTGTTTCTAGTCAGTGTTGCTGTAGCTCCATGGTACAGTGCAGTACTATGCTGTGTTACCAGGCTAGCTCAAAGGCAGCCAACCTGCAATGCGCTTGCCTGGTGGCTGGAAGCTCTTGCAAGACTGTGCGGATGTTCTACTTTCCTTCCTTTCTTTCCGTCCTTCTACTCTGTTTTCATGGCTTCTCTTGAGTCAGCACTGTGGATGATGCAGACGTGGCTAGTAAGCTCTCTGGTTCATATGAAAACTAGACTTCTTTTGCTATGATGATTTGGAAGCTGATCAGGAAGCTGAAGGCTCTACTTGGGTGACAGCAGGGTCAGTAGTGCTGATGGAAGGCAAAAACAGTCATCAGAAGCACCAGGGCTGTCTCATTCAACAACACTCTTGTCTTAGTTTGGCCTAAAGGAGCTATAAACTTAATCCAGAAGTTTGATTGAATCCAAATATTCCCTTCTTGACTACGTAACACTCTAGTGGTTATGAATATCATAACACAGATAGCTGTTTACTCACTGAGTGCATTTCTTAAGCTGAGTAGTTTATATATATATATAATGTATTGTTGAATTGAAATCACTTGACTCAAAAGACTGTTACTGAATTACTGTGCTGTGAGGTTTTCCTTGCTGTGTAGCACCTGGATCTGAATCACTGGATCATTTCCTCTCAGAGGACTGATGACTCGGGTACTTGCAGCCAGGTAGGTGCTTTGCTGAGTAAGTTGGGGAATCTTATTGTGTTTAAAATTAACTATTAAGGTGAATGCTTGTGAAGTTGGGATCTTGARTAAGATCTTGGTAGCACTTCTGTCCTCTGTCAGCTTGTAAGTACATAGTGCAAGGGATGGAGTTTGGGCTTTGTGAACAGTAACTTACATCTCTAAGTGTAAAGTTACCTGCTGGCATCATGCTGGGCCTCTCTTAAACCTTTGAATCTAACTGCTTTAAGAAAGGTGAACATCCAAGGGGTTTTTTATTTTCTCACATGAACACCCTCCATTAAGCCTAGGTGGGTGTGAGAGGGTTATTTCTGTATAAAGTGATACATTTTGTTGTTCTCTGAACTGGAAAAGCAAAAAAAAAATGCTATTTTTGTGCAATCCAAGTAACAGTAGAGCACTTACTCCTGATAAGTTAGTTTCCCGTAACACAACTGATCCAGAGTCTCGCTGCTCGCTTCAGTGGGCTTGGAATCAGAGCTTCACGTGGAAGGAAATGTATTTTCTTCTCTGTGTAATTTGCTCCAAAAGTTCAATGCCAGTTCTGAAAATTTCTGGGATCTTTGTCAAATTAGGTCTGTATTTTCCTCTTTTGATGGTGATGCCATGGATTTTATGTGCAGTATTGCTTTGAAGTGTCCAAAGAATTAAGGGKTGAGGGCTGGAGATAATTTTTCTTTAAAGCTGCTCCCTCCAGCCTGTCTTTTTCCTTTACACGTGCACTTTAAGTGAATTTACTGGTGCTGAAAGAGATCAGTTTGACAGGCTTGGTGATTCACACCTTCTCCTCAGCTTCCTAGTTCAAACCAGTCCATGTTGGAAAAGGAAGGTCAACAGTTTTAGTGCAAGGCTGTGATTACTGTAATTTTAACTAGGGTGGAAGCAGGAAATACCTGAATATGAGACCTCACTCTTCCATGAACCAGTGGAAGAATCTGCGCCCGCCGCGGTTGGTCGTGTGCAGTGTAGAGGAGCCGCTGAACTCAGCCCTAGACCTGAATGCTTACAAAGCTGCTCTGATTATGTGGATGAAAAATATGGTCTGCTTGCCGTTGCATCACAGTGTGGTATTTTTTTGCRCACTTAACAGGTATGCATTGCTGCTGGTTCAATGGTAGCCTTGTAATAACATTTGTATTGAAAGAGGAGATTTGGTTGGTTGACAGACAGAAACACTTGCATATTGAAGGTCAAGGGGCTTATTATCTAAGCTCACAGGACCGAGGATGCCAGAGGTTTCCTAAGTGTCTTTGCAAACCTGTGACAGTAAGGGGCATTTCGGTGCTCAGAGCAGGAACCTCCAGGACAAACACACATGTACATAGATGGATGCCCGTGTGACACAACTGGTTGGGACACACTCCCTCATGACTGTGCCAGGTTCCCCCTCCTTGAGTTCCCATCACAGACACGTGTACTGCATTGCCTGGACATTTGCCAGCTTTAGCACTGGATGTAGAGGTACGAGTAGAGAAATTAGGGAGTGTATTTATGTATGTGTGCACAGAGTAGCCTGCGTGGATGTCCATCCCTGTACTTGCAGACACATGGACTTAACAGGCACATGCAACACACACTGTCACACCACACACATTTTTTCCACTGTCAGAATAAAAAATCCCATTGATTTTTGCTTTTCATGCTTCTGTTACTAGCTCCAGCTAACAACTGCCACCACTGTTTCTTATCAATATTTGATGAGCAGGGCGAGGTGGAATGGAGAAGCCCAGTGAGTTCCTCCATCTAAATGGTCTCTATGAGGGTTGAGGTTTTTGTGGCTTATGTTTTTTTATTTTCTGTTTTACTTGTTTACTTCAAGTCCTGAAGGTGACTTCTGTTGAAAGATACAGGACATCCCTCTCTCTTTTTTTTTCTTCCCTTTTCTTGCCTTTATCTCTGTGTTTGCACTCTTTAGCAAGCTTATGGATGATTTTGTGGATTTTTTTATTTTTTATTTTTTTAATCCTCTGTGAAATTCATAAACTGTGTAAGGTCGGTCAACTCGGGTGTATGTTTGGCTGATGCTACTTCTCCTTGTCTATTTTTTTACCAAGCTTTAGCCAGCTGAAGGGTACCAGGAAGTAACCTCTCATTTTTAAATTGCTTGTCAGGTCACAGCATTAGTGACAACCCCAGCACATTACTAGTTTTTGCCTTTAGTCATGTGAAAAAAGTAGCTCCAGAAGAGAGTGATATGCCTTTAGGGTATCCTTTTGAGACATARTTCTTCATTTATTCTTCACTTGCTTCCATAGAAGTTAAGAAAGAATCCTCCTTCTTTGCTTGTGCTTGAGAAATGAATACAACTTACTTTAGGGATGTGAGTTTTAGATTGAAGTAAGGTCACAGTTTGTCCATTACTGAGATGAGAGCTGAGTGCTTTGCTCAGAGCAGACATTTCTGCAAGTACTCTTCATAGTGAAGAGCTAGTTTAATTTTACAGGCATGGAGTCCTTGAATGCTGTTACACAGCAAGTGGTACATGAAACGTGGCACAGTCCTTTTAGCAAGCTCCACGGTGACAGTATGACAAGCAAACAGGGCAGCATTTGCAAAAGGGAGCAAAGATGGGGCAGAGGAGCACGGAGCGCTCCAAAGTGGCCACGTGCTGGTGATATACTGTAAAATCAGAGACCACGCTGCAAACCCCGGTTGCTGTCAGAACTGAGGAAATGAGATATTACTGGATGTCACTTGTGAACATTGAGAGATGTTCACGTGAGAGAAGTTCCCTGCAGCGAAGCACAGATGTGGTGCGGCACAACAAGCTCTTCGTGGGATGAAGAAGAATGTGGAGCAGCCTCTGTTGTCCTCCCTTGAGTTTTAGCTGAAAAGATTCATTGCAAGGAGACAGCGAATGTACAGGTTAAGCTAAATGGATATGTAGGCATGAGAATCCCATCTGCATCACATGACATACAGAGCAGAGGAGCCTCTGGAGAAGGTATTTTCACGTACAGGAAGAACTGTACCTATTTTCCTCATATTTATGTGAGACAAAAAATAGAAGGGAGATGACAGTTCCCTTTTCTTTTCCCCCTCAAATTATTTTATTGAACATCACTGTTTCATTCCGGAAGGAGCCAGAAATTCATTCCTGACTTGGAATTCGAAGTGCGGCTTAAGTGGATAACTCCAGTGCAGAAATGGACGGCAGGGATAATGGAAGGACAGATGGACTTTCCATATCAGCCCCTCGGTCTGTATTGCTAGAAAATATTCTTTGCTCCTGCAGAGTAGCAATTTCTAAAGGGAAATTGTAAACTAGAAGTTGATTAGACCAAAAAACATGCTGCTTCTCCATCCTTCCAACCTTCTATCCTTCTTCTTTTTCTTGATCACGTATCTCAGTGCGCTGATGTTGTTAGGAGTCATTATTCTTGGATTTCTAATGACCCTTCAGTTCCGCAGGGTGCAGCAGCGTTTGCCTCCAGGGGCAGAGGTACTTTGTGGGTCACCGTGTGGCTCGGGGCCTTGGAGCCAGCCGGAGCGCGGGGAGGCCCTGGGGCCGCCCAGGCAGCCGCAGCCCGCGCTATTCTCAGACATCCGAGGCGGCCTCAAGTCGCAGTTCATTAAAATCTGAAGGCCTGGAGGCTGTGCCACTGGTGTGGCACCAAATTGTCATTTCTGCCAGGGCTGCCTTCCCTTTGAGCCCGTCCTCAATGCAAAAAAATGGTCATTTTTCTCTTAACTGAAAGATGAGTGATGTAAGGCACTGGACAAATAGTCCATATAGTCCAACAGACGTAGTCTSTAAAACTTCAGAGAGTTTAAGAATGCTTTTCTTTTTTCTTTTTCCTGTTTTTTACCTAATAGAGAAGGGATTTTTTTATATATATACTGTTCATCAAACACCTAGTACATTCGAGTTGAGGGATTTTTTTCTCTCTCTCATTTTAACATAATGTTTAATACATCATTACCAGAGTGTAGAAGGCAGAAGATTGCATCAGTTCCTGAGTTGGGGCGGGGGGGCACAGAGTTTGCTTGCTTCCTTTGATGCAAAGGGCTAGTTATTTGCTGAGGGAAATGATATGAAGAGCATGCACTAGATTCACCAAATCACTCAATTTGTGCCCCTTTGATTGAAGTGTCCAAGCCCAAAGTACCATGACATGTGAAGGGTAGATGACAGTTTGACAGAATGTGTTTGCAGTTGCCCTCGTGCTGCAAGCACGCTCTCTCCAGCATTTTGTTCACATTTTTTGTAAACTTTTCCCAGATTTGCAAGTGCATTTTGAAATTGCCACATTTGGAAGAATATACATTTTGCTACAGATATATTGGGCTTTTCAACTTAAAAGGTCGAAGCACACGGGTCTGGGAGCCCTGTGCGGGACTTTCATTACCTTTTGGGTATTTGTGCTCAGCCTTGGAGCAAACATGGGCTCTGCTTTATTAAGCAAGACCTGTCGTTTATTTTAGACTCGKGGTAAGAGAAAGTAAATCAAGAAAAAATACTTCGTATTAAGTATTTGTATTAACACTTTTTGTATCATTTTCAAGCTTGTTTGGGCCTTTTCTAGAAATACAGTGATTTTGTTTCAAGTATAAATACCTAGGAATGCCTTACACCTCCATGCTCTGTTCCTGTGGTTGCAAAGTTCAGATTTTGTCTTCTGTGCTGTGGTGCTGAACGTAAGAACTTGTTTTGGAATGAGCACCAAGCACCAAGGCATAGCCTGGAGGGTGGTTTATAGATCTGGGTAAGAGGCCAAAACATCTGCAGATGTGTAGGAGGCAAGGGAAGACATGAGAACCCCTCAATRACCGCGCGGAGCAAGGCCACCAACACTCAGTTCCCTCTCTCCTTGTGCGCAATCTACCTCAAAATGTGCAGCAAGCTGAGATTGGCCTTACTCCTTCACCATTTCTCCTCTCTCTTTGGGCAGTGATTTCAGGATTGCTGGTGCTCATGCTGGAAGTCCTAGATCCACTGAGGCTGACAAATCTGATTATCCATCTTCTGTATAAGACTTAGAGAAAACAATTGGTGAGTCCTTGGACTTGGAGCTCCACAAGCTTTTTTATCTGGCAGAGCTTATGGAAAGAGCCTCCTGGCCCTTCCTTCCTGCCTCGTGCTGTTCTTCCTCTCAAGGCAAAGCTGCAGAGAACCGAGCACAGGTGAATGTGGCTGCTCTGTGTTTGCTGCTCTAATGCAATTGATTGGCACTGCTGACTTGTCTTCCCATCCTTTGGACATGTGAAGAATGGATGCAGGCTGGGTCATCTAGGACTGAGTTGAATGCTGAGCTGTTCTGTTGACCAGATGGCTTCATGAGGTCTGAAAACTGTTACCCGTGCTTACCTTACTCTGCTCAGCCTTCTTCCCTGCAGCTCCCTAGGGAGCCCCACACTGCTTTCCCACCGCTTGGTCAGTGCCGCCTGGGAGGTTGCTGGGCAGTGCTGTCATTGGTTCTGTCACATAGTGATGCCTAGTTCTTGAATTTTAGGAGAATTGAGTTATATCAGCTCTAACAGACCATCCTTCCCCATTCTGCATATTCTCCTCCTCTCTTGAACAGCAGGTCAGGTTTGGGGTGAGTACATTGGGTTATTCTTCTCCTTAGTCTTGTTTCTAAAACCTCTTCCAAATACTGTAGTCAGGAAGGTACTTTGTAATCAGAGTATTCTGCGCACTGTGGGAATGTCTGATCCGCTGCCTCTTCCAGGCAGGGCACCTGGATCCACTCCAGGTGATGCCGAGTCCAGTCCAGGTTCTCTTTGGTCTCCCAAGTGGCTTAGGAAACCACATCCTTTCGCTAGGAGAAAAATGGTCTCTTTGCATTTGTAATATCTTTCCTAAAATGTGCCATGCAATCATGTCTTTAAAATATATGAGGCGATAGAGCAAATATATTGAAAACTAGCACATACTTGGCTAGTTTTACTAATAAGTAAAATACACAGGCCCGTATATGACAACCGAATGTGTTGAAATATATTGAAAACATATTTGGATCATTCCACTTATACTCAAATATTGAAAACTGGCCAAATCTGTAAAGATTTAAGTCTATATTTTTGTATAGTATGTGTGTATATATATATAAAAATCATTTTCACAACTAGATAGCAAGGAAAGTTACTGTGAAGATATGGGAAATCCTAACCACATTTTATTTTTTCCTGCTGGAAACCAGTGATCATTGATGCTGGGTCATTATAGACACTGCAGTAACAGTTAATGCGTCTGCTAGCTAATAATGTGAGTACTGGGCCTAGCACAAGGGGTCATTGATCTTAATAGAGACCATTCAGTAAGGGTGGACTCAAGCAGTAATGGTTCCCCTGGCATCGCCAGCACTGATTTAAGTCCCAACATTTCTTCCTCTGCAGTCTCTTTGGATTAGCTTGAGAACGGAGCGCAGAGTGGGAGTGAGAGTGGTTGTGACAGCRCTTAGGTGGAAGAGTGTGCAACTGCTCGCTGCTGCTAGAGAGATGAGAGATTTCTGGGGAGTGAGCGTTTGAACAGCGATCCCTAGAGAAGGGATGTCACCCTGGAAAGAACACAGGATCTGTGTGTGAAAGTGAGACTCGCCGTTTATTGTGAGCCCCTGGCRCTCGGGAGCATCCTGGAGGCAAGACTGCAGAGCTGCCTGGATCGTGGCTCCTCAGGGAAGYGCCCTTTGCAGTGTGACACGTAACCTGACAGGGCTATCTGGGATTACAGCGGAGCCGCGAGGCACGGTGCAACTGGAATTCCCGTGCCCTTTATGCATAGCTATACATCTGTGTATAGTTACATATCTGAAGGGTATGGGTCAGGAGATCCTAGCTTTTTGCCTTATAAAGTGCAGGGTTTTCTCTGCCTTTCCCTGTATCTCTTACCAGCAATTAGAACCCAAATAGAGAGGAAGGCTCCAAAGGTTCTGCATATGGGTGTTCTGTAATACACACATCTAGACAAGTGTCTCTCTCCATGAAGAACACGTCCTCTTTTTGCTTGGCAAAAGAATGGGCTTTCCTGAAACTCTCCTGAATACATAATATTTAGTGGCATTAAGTGTGTACAGCACAAGTATGTCTGAATTAGTAAGGTGAAGATGAAGCTCTTGTGGGGATTTCAACTATGGACCTGAAGGCCCTCACCTTGAAGCCAAGATCCTGTTGAACAGTGTCAAGGGCTTTGGTGAAGGAACGCAGGGCCTCAGCATACAAACCAGGGGATGCAAATGGGCAGGGAGAGAAACATGGAAACAGCAGGGCAGGATTGATCATGGGCAAGGTCAGTTGCCAGGATAGTTGACAAAGTTTCTTTCTTGCTGTGGGGAAAGTGAATGTTGGTGAAAAACACAGTGCTGGTTGTGGTTCACATTGCCATGGTCTGTTCTGCTGATGGAGCTATTAGGTTGATGACAGCTGGAAGCGAGTGTCCTCATGTTGGAGTGATGAGTGCTCTAGGAAGAGCAAAAAGGCACCCGACCCCTGAAGRGCAGTCCTGGCTCTGCTCGAGAGCTGGGTGGTGGGTATCAGCCTCTACAGCCCCACTTTCTCATCTGTGGTGGAGCGGTTTGCTAAATGAGGAAGGAGAAAGGGGTCTCAGAAGAGGAACAGTTTTAAAGGAAGGACAGTTGTTCCCTGAGATGACCTTAATTTGAAGGGGAATGGAATTTTCTTTGATTCTTTATATTGTGTAGAATTGTCTTATTCTTTTAAAATTGTTCTGCTCTTTTAATAGAATAAAATAAAAAAAAAAAAAGACAATTTGGGGTTTTAAATCTGCCTTTCTGCATAAATCACTGATCTCGGAAAGAGGAGTCTAAGAGGCTGTGATCCTATTGACCGAGGGAATGTATTTCTGTCAGCTGCGGAGTATTCAGTCAGCATGAGCATTATTTGGGTGTAGGAACCTGGAGCTAGATCAGCCCCAGACAGAAAGCAAAGTGGTGCAGAGAGGAGGTCGTGTCAAAGGAGATTGATGAGGGTTTGGGGCCTCCCACCGAGGCTCATGCCTGCGATGCTCTTCCCAGAGCCCGTCCCCTCTCGCGCTTTGCTCCTCTGCTCCTGATGCCCASCTCGGGGCCTCTTACTGTCCTGGTTCTGCAACCCACCTGTCAGCTGGGAGCTGGAGCTCCTGGAGATCCCACAGCCCTAATGAAAACAAGGAGGGAGCAGAATTCTTCTGCAAAATAAACAAGGCCCCTTGGCTGACCCCTTCCTGACCCGGCAATGAGGTGCTAATTATTCGAGGATTAGCACCTCGCCCCTATCACAAAGGATGCAGCCGAGGAGCCGAGGTGACAATGCCCTGCACCAAATGCACATCCTGCAGAATTAGTCCAAGGGCAATAGGCAAGTGCCAAAGTTAAGAACAAAGAAACCTTCTGAAGTTTCTTTGGAGTTGAGCGTGTGGGCTAAAAACTGTGCAAAAATTGACGGCTTTTGGAGGAACTACGCAGAAATTTACTCATGTTTTAAGCAATACGCCGCTTTTCTTGATTTTTACCTCGGATACCAGGCAGGAAACGTTCCTTCAGTGTGACTACAGGGACAGCAACATCAAAAAGAAAAGAGGTACTAAAAATGAATGGCACCAGCAGAAATGTCTTTGGGTGCCTGTATCTGTCCTGAGAAATGACACGAGTTACACGATGTCTGCTGGTAGATGAGAAGGGGATGAATTAGGAAGCCCTAGCAGAGATCTGTGTGCTTCATGGGACGTGCTCTGTCACCTGGCTGTGCTGGAACTCACAGCTCCTGTATCTCCTTGCAGCCAGCCACACTCCCAGGGCTGTTGAACATCTACAAAAGGACTGCAGAACAGAGGGAACAGAGAGAGTCAGGTTTGCACTGGGTTAGTCACTGCGCTSGAACAAGGCTCTTGGGGTGCAGAAATATTTTGATTTGTGACTAGATACAGTTGTGACACCACATGTGCCTACGTGCCTGCACTGACGTACAAAGGTGTTACACACCTCCAAGTTCTCCATGGCTTCAGTGGGAGCCATTTGGTTTGCTGGCAGTCCTTGGTTGCTGCAGGAAATGGGCCCATGTGTTGGAGCCCTAACACAAGGCTCATGTGATTGTTTACAACAGAAATTCACTTTGTTTGGGGTATTTTGTGTTAGTTAAAGTGATAAAATCCTTTTGTTCTGCTGTTGCATTTGCATAGAGGATATGGATCTGTTTGCTACTGCATCTGATGGAAAACAAAACACTCCCATATAAGGCATCTTAGCATTTACTTGGAGCCATGTATCAGTGTTTTAGTTAAAAATAATATTTCTCATTAAAATTTCTGTATCAGAGATTATGTTAATGTTAAATAGGATTTTAGGAGTTGACTCGAAACATGGCCTTGGCCTGAAACCAGGTCTACTTACAGCCTTTGGCCAGAAGGCAGGAAGAAGTGAGAATCCTGGTGTGCCCCAACATGCCCCTATTTTCTCATCAAAGTATTTTAATATTGAGTGCAGGTTTCACTTGTTAGTGATCTCCAGCCCGTGACCTCTTATTGCGTGATGCAGGGCTCAGCTTTGCCACCTCCAGCACCTTCTAAGTTGGATCTCCATTGGGCTGGAGCAATGGGATGTGCTGGTGGGGGAGCGGGGCTGCTGGAGGAGCCCCGGGTGCCCTCCTGTGATTTGGGCCGGCAGCTGCAGTTGCATCTCGGCAGGCCTCGCGGAGGGGCAGGGGACGTCGTGCGTTGCATCCGCGAGTGCTGAGAGGTGACACCTGCCCGGGCCTCAGTTCTGTCTTCCAAGGGTGGGGTAATGGTTCCGTTCTTGCCTGCAAAATCACTTGGGAGCTGTTTGTGAAAAATGCTATCGTAAAAGTGTTTTTTGTTTGTTTGTTTTGTTTTGCTTTCACCATACACATGGTACTAAATAATCTTTAACGTTGTACATGCAAGGYAAGTTGGAAGAAAAGAGGCTTTTCCTTCGTTTCTCACCCGACTCATCTTTACTCCCTGTCCATCAGTAATTGCTTCTCTGTGCTGGAAATGCTTCAGAACTCTGCCCAAGCTCAGGAAACTTTCAAACACCTGAATATGGGCTGTTCCTGGTGGAAGTTCTCTCAGGCACCCAAGTGGRAAGATTTTTTTCCATGCTGTTACATTACCAGGAAAAAGTTTTTGTGTCAGAAAACTGACTTTTCCGACTTTTCCGATCCTGCCATTCATAAACAYGTGGCCAGCTCTCCCCGAAGAGCTGTTCTCCATTGATGGCTTTCACCAGCTTCCCGGGTGCAGGCATGAACTGCTGCTTTAACAGCTCAGTAGAACATGCTTGAATACACTATACTAGCCATTCAGGCAGCTCTTGAGGCATAATTTCAGAGCTAGTTCCTGCCCTTGGCCGTGGCAGTGGGTGTCTCGCACTTCTGTCCCGCTGTGCAGGGCTCCCAGCCGGAGCC